CTTTGCTATGAATCTTGGCCAGCCTTGAATGCACTATGTAGACAGACTGTCCTTGAACTTGCAGTGATCCTTCTGCATGAGTGCTGATAATATGGCTGTGAGTCATTACACTCAAAGATGAACATTTTACTTTGTTTTGTTTTGTTTTGTCTTGTTTTTCCTTTTGTTACGGACCTCATGCTTGCCAGGCAGGCTCTGTGGTGCTGAGCTATGTCCTTGGCCTTTTTAGATTGTATATGAAGCTCACAGTAACTTCTACTGGACCTCATTCTTTGCAGTCATAGTATATCAGTAATGACACGATACTGGAGATAAAAAAGTGTTGTTGTTTTTTTTTAGTTCATTTGACGTGATTTACGTTATAGATTTAACCTGATGCATGGAAATGAACACATGTAACACAGTATGTGTTAGCTTGTATAAGAATTGGATAATAAATTTTGATGTATTTATGAAGATCCTTCTAATAATCTGATTTGTTGGTCCTTTTTCTTTTGTTTTTCTTCCAATGAACTTATTTTCTACCCTCACCTCAGCCACTCACTAACTCAGTCATGACTCATACTCTTTCCCTTTAGTAAATTCATTTCCTTCCCCTCATAATCTCAGTTTCATGTTTTTTACTTTCCAACTTACTCCATCTGTCCTAGTTTTCTCCCACCAACTCTGCCGTTCCACACATGGAAAATAGCAGTCATGGGTGCTTTAAAAAGTAGCAGCCTCATTTCTTTCTCCTCTAGGTAAATTAAAGTTCATGATAAACCATTAAAATCACTTTATTTTATATATTGTTTGATTTCTTGCTCCTTGCTGAGCTAATTTCTAATCACTGGAAAAATCCACTCTGATTACTAAAGCAGAAAATGAGTAGAAGAAGATATCCAACCACTGTTCAGATATGATTCAAAAATCAAGACCATTTATCTGAAGTAGGTCCTTGATGCAGCTGACTAATGAAATTATCTTCCTCCCTTTGTACTTATTTTCACATTTCTTTTCTTCCTCCATGTTTCCACAACTCCTCCTTTGTTGTCCAGTTAGTGACCTTCTTTCAAATTGTAGCAAAAAAAGCAGAGCTCTAATTGGGCCTCCATTATAACAACAGTTCTTACAAAATATTATATACTGAAATCAAGAAGCAGTCCAGAACATGTCTGCGGTGAACAAACTTTTCAATATAGTATATTTACCATTTTATGGCTCAGACAGAGCGAGGATGCAAGACCCCTGATCTCAGTTAGCTGATTGCTGAACCCCATAAAGCTGACTGACCTCTGGCTGCAAGGCCCAGATTGAGTTCCCCATGCTTCTGAATGGTTGAACTCCACAATGTTCTATTACAGGTTTCCCATGCCCTTTCTTTAAAGATGTTCAAAGTTGGGAACTCAGAAAAATACTCTGATGACCACCTCTGTCTTTGCAGAGTGGGTCCAAAGACTTGCACAGTCAGGAGGTCTGAGAGTGCGGGGGGGGAGATTATGAGGGTTCAGGGGCGCGCTACATTCCCTGGGCTTGAGCAATGGTGGCTGGGTTGGGAGCAGGTGTGGTTCTCCTTCCTGCTGTGGATCGGGGCCCTGCCTACCTCCCGGTGCTTGAGCCATGGCTGCTGTGTTGGGAGCAGGCATGGTTCTCCTTCCTGCAGTGGATCGGGGCCCAGGCTTCTTCCCGGAGCTTGAGCGATGGTGGCTGGGTCGGGAGCAGGCGTGGTTTTCCTTCCCACAGTGGATTGAGGCCGGCCTACCTTCCGGTGCTTGAGCAATAGCTGCTGGGTCGGGAGCAGGCATGGTTCTCCTTCCTGAAGTGGATCGGGCCGGCCTACCTCCCTGCACTTGAGCGATGGATGCTGGGTTGGGAGCAGGGGTCTTGATTTCAATTTAATTCAAATGATTTAAGGGCGATAGACTAGTGACTACCACAGGTGGTCAGTGTCCAAGTTGGGCTTGATCCTAATGTGTTGCTGATTGTATCAGTTGGGGTAAAGCACTGCCGTTGATTTGATGAGCTGCTTTCTATGATGTTATGAAGATGAGAATGTCTGGGGGTCGTTAGAGACACAGAAGCTAGGGTGCAACTATATCAGGAAGATTTGGGTGATAATCCAGAGATTAAACCAAGGACAGTCTGACAACAAAAATTAAAATGAGAAAACACTTAAGCAAGACACAAGGACAGACTTCCAGTTCACCAATGGCAAACAGTAGGGCAAATGAGGATGAAAAGGCCGATAGTGAATCACCAGGACACCCTGAACTCAAAGCACAGGAAGTAACAAAACAGATCAATCAGGCTGTAGAAAAATTCAAAACAGAAATAATTTCACAGATAACCATAGAGATAGTGAGCAAAATGGAAGTCGAGATTTGAGACTCTAGAGCAGAAACTGACAAAAAAATAGATGAGTTCAGGACCATGATAGAAGCCATGAAGGCCCAGCATAAGAAAAAATGGAAAAAATAAATGCCCAACATAGGAAAGAAATGGAATCCATAAAACCTATTCAAACAGATATCCAGGAGATTAAACACTCTATTGAAAGTGGACACAACAGAATAAAAGAATGCAAAGATAGGCTCTCAGATATAGAAGATAAGATTGCAGTCAGTGACCATGAAAAGAGAGGTCTCTTAAAAACAGTA